TATATGTGATGCGTCCTTTCTCGTCGTCATTGCATATAGAGACGTTAGTATTGAAACCACTTATGTAGGTAGGTTTCTCGAATTATATAATAAATAGAATCTAACACTCGTGTTCATGTTATATTGAATTTATTGAACTCGTATATTAATTTCATATGAAACTCGCCAAAGGCTCGTTTCATATGAAATTAATATACTCGTTCAATAAATTCAATATAACATGAACACTCGTGCTAGATCCTCTATATATAGCATCGCACGGCACGTAAATCGGGTAAGTCTTGTTTTGGTTATTATTCTTACCTTTAAATTGTCCATGTAACGAAAATAAGCAGCTTATGAACCTTATATACAGTTAAATTGTCATAAAAGTATTATCTATTGAAAACTGTATACATAAAAGTACTTCTTTGCATTGCATGACAGTTTCGTGAGCCGTTTTTCCACAAGTGTCTCGTTTTGGGTACAGTGACGTTACAGTGGCAGTAAGCCACCAATCGGTGGTTTCCTTATTTACTTGGAGGTCCACATTGGAATATGTGGTTTTTGCTTAGAACATTCACAGGCTGGGGTTTTGAAGCCCAGAACAAAAACCTCTGAACTGCCAAAGGGTTATATGTCAAAGTGGTCATTGTTTATCAGGAGATTATTATAACTTCCATCGGAGGCATTTGCATCTGGATGAAAATCATTTAGCTGAATATATGTAACATATGCAGTGAATAATATAATCACTTGTCCTTTCAATTCAGGTCAGTCTGTTGGTGTGTTGTTGTCTTTATGTTTTAATGCTTTAAGTATAAATGTTCTGATAGATGTGCATATATATATAAAAAAGTAATGAATAGAAGACGAATCACAGCAGTTTTAATCTCTTGACTTTTGTAAATAACACTACACACTGTGGCTGTCTGACCACGTGTGTGACAGACACCTTTGAGATGTAAGATTCTAGTTAGACTTAAAGACATGTTCACACAAACAGTGTTACATTTTAAAACGTTTTAAGCGATCGATGATATCAAACAGTCATTACATCACTCAGGTCCCGAAAAGGGTAAAATCAACGTGGAGTTGGGCTCGCCATTTTATGTCCATCTCCACGACCTGCCCGAGTACTCAAAGATCCACATAGCTCAAACCGGTAAGGTTCGCCGTGCTCGAGTGTTTGGGTTGTCGAGATGTTCTGTATATAAACCCTCTCATTCCAAACCATGTCTCACTCTACCCGTGGAGAGATCTGAATCACCGCCCTTATTCCCTACCTAAATCGGCAATTTCCATAATTTCCAATTGACGTGTATAGTACTAGGAGACATAAATGTGTACGGTTTGGCATAACAATAACATTGGGTTCATTCATGACCAGGCCTGAAAGGCTAAATACATTTTTATGAAACTTCAATGTTATGTACATGTAGTACCGTTTAGAGCCTCAGTAGCGGGATGTACGTTTTGAGGGATAAAGTTGGTCGACGCCTAAGCTAGGCAGAAATCACCAAAGCAATTCTTTAATTTAATTTTCTGCAAAACCTACCTTTGGTATCCAAAACGGTCTAATTTTCTCTGAGTAATTTCCAATAGATAAGGTACAAACACTTATGGCCAGTGTTGGTACTTGATTTAATTACCCATCCGAGCATTTTCCTCCTTTACTATTTTGCATTGTGTAGAATATGATTTTGTATCTTAGGAAGTGTTAAAGAGTTACATATATGTTATTAAAGCGTTTCTTTTATGTAAAAAGCACTTTAAGCAGAACAATGACATTTTAATCCTAAAACAATATTTGTAGTGTTAATCCTAAAACAATATATGTACTGTATACAACAGTGTTTCGGCAATGTACTTCGGACATGTCATATGTCATGACAGCATGAATATTTAAGCTTTCGTGAGGCTAATGATTTAATTTCAGCAAAATATAGTAAATGTGGTGTTTGATGAAAACATAATGCTATTACCTTTTTTCCGATAAATAAGTATTGTGAACGTTGACTTTATTAATCATATGTGAAAAGGAACAGATATACTTCCATTATCCTTCCTGGTTCTTTTTGGCTAAGAATCATAGACAAGAGAACAATGTAACCCAAACCCCATTGTCTTCATAAACCGAAATCCAATATTGACAATGATTTTTCAGGATTAATCATATTCACACAATACAAAAGAGCATAAATTGAGGGATATTATCTCCTGCGTATCAAAATCAATGTAAGTACCAACGCTGTTCATGAGTGTTCGCAAATTCGGTGGAGAATTGTTCAGAGCAAATAAGATTGTTATGTCCCTGAATCATTTTCACAACCAATGCATAACATTTGGGTTACATGTACCAAAGATATGTCTGAAAAATATATAAGTAGATATGCCTACCTTCGTCAATATCGCACGCTTCGTTGCCGAAAACTCTCAATGCTCAACACCTTACTCATACTTGTGAGTCTAAATGCGGTGCTGTAGATGTTAAAGGTCAAATGTGTTGCCACAGTGATCCATGTCGTTCAATCCGAGTACGCATAAAAGAAAATAATGTTTTTAATGGTGTTATTATATCTTAAACTACTAGATAGAGATAAATATTTCGCAGGCTCTACTCTAAATGAAAACGTGTACGGCAAGCCAGCTTTAGTTGTGTCAAAGGAGCGATGTCAATCCTGTGTTTGATAAAGATATGTAAGATAGCATATATACATGTTTGTAGTTATAACAAATCTCTATATTCATACGATTATTTTTGAGATAAGATATCGTATACGATTATATCATATCGATTTTCATGAGAAATATACATGTATTGATATATAGCAGACATCTTATAAAATATATAAGATATCCTATATGTAGAATTTTATACGTTGCCTTAGGTTAATTTCTTTGTAAGATATCTTAAATACAATTTTATTAAATACTTCATTTAGGATTTAAGACCTATTTTATCCTTAATAAGATGTGTTATATATTTCATAAAATACTGGATCAAAATTGCGACCTGAATCCGTGTTGCATATAAGTTGGTTTTCCATATCACGATAATTTCAGATCAGCTGCAGTAACTCCTTTTGCTTTAAATCATTCTTACTTTTCCCACATTGTCACTCAAAGTCAAGGTCACGATATTCTTCCCCATGCGTTTTAGAAAAGGTCAGTGGTAGGCGACATCATTGTGATTAGCTGCGGTGATGCATAACTAGTCTCGGTGAATTTCAGAGGATGTAATCAGTAGAACGTGTATAGTTCCAGAGTCAGATCTCACCAGGGTTGGAAGGCAGACATGGAAGGGAATGTTTCCGATTAGAGAGCGTTTATTGCAGTATCTGAATTAATATAAATATTTCTTGCATACTTTAAAAGCATGTTTTTGCATGTAATAAGTGTATATGTACTAAGTAATTGCATGGTCTAATTGAATTTAGGAGTTTATTTGTAAGACATCCCTATGCATGACTAATGTAACTCGATAGGATGCCAGCCAAGACATACTTTGAAATAAACAATTATCTAACTAGAGGCAAGGTCTCTGATCTAACACACGGTTGTATTTGGTTTGTTTGTTTTAATGCTATTTTATATCACGTTGTTAGTTTCTGTTTTATTTTGATTAAAAACGAATCTTAATCAATGTTTTTATATTGCTGACGCTTACCAAGGGTCGATAGTACCGCAAGTCATATATTCCTTTTTATAGTTTATTTCCTTTGATTTCTTTCCGAGGACAAACAACATTCATAATAACTAAAAATATTCGAAAACAAGAAAGTTTTTATTGCATATTATTATTCTAACATCAAACAATTCTTCGGAAATTCATTGTGATTTATTCTTTCAAAATCACTGTTATTCAATCAAATTGTGACGTTGGGCTCTTTAAGAATGCGATAAAATGTTCAACGTCAACAAAAAAACTATTTAATGTCACTATTTTTGTAATTGATGTCAATAATATTTCAGGCCGTTATTACGATCAAGGGACGGTAGGAAATCGATATACCATAAAAATGTCCTTTTATATAAAAAAAAATAACCTGAAGCAAATCATCGCCCTACTTTGTTAAGTTCTATGTGTTGTTGGTGTATGTAGCACAGCAGGGACTCATTCACTTCATTGTGTATTGGTTACTGATATTAATAAAAGAGGATCACATTAAGGAAAACTAGTCCGGCTATTCAATACCTAGGTGACGCTGGATTGTGAAGACCAGGTTAGTTATATGAATGCAATATATATTTAATAATGTTAAATTATAAAAAGATGATATTTTTCTGTTTATTCTTTTTGTGAATTTATTATTTAAAAAAATACTGAACACGACAAAACTCAAACTCTTGTGTAAGACCTCGTGTTAATCATTTATCTCAATAAGAAATATGTGTGGGTCGTAATAGCATGAGACAATCAGATATATTGAGTCGTAATTCAATCTGTGTGTAACGTAGCCATACGGATCAATCCCACGCAGCAGAAGCAGCCGCATCAGTGTTACGGACCTATTGGCGATCTAGCTTCCAAATTCCTCTTTTAGGAAGATCACTTTATTTTTAAGAAAAGATATGCCTAAACAAATACAACATGTCTCAATATTCCAACATAACAAGAATTACGAGAAACTGTATCTGTAATTGATCTGGTATTAATGGGAGATGAAGCTACCGTGATAGTCGGTACTGGTGCCCCGTTACTGTAGGTCATGTGTGCGTGAGTCTGCGAGCCAGCATCACTAGATCGATACCTCTCCTACAAGTGTGTATAGAACCATGATGGCGTCCTCCATCCGAATGTCGATCTTAGTCAGACGTACAGTATGTGTATAACATACCAACACAATTCCAGGATAATATCATCTTCATGTGGAATCGGTATGTATCTTTTTGATTATTGTGTGTTTGTGATAACTGTTTGTTTTTACTTTGGTTCCGTTGACAGATGTGGATAACGAATACGACAACATAATGAACAAGGCCTTACGGTCTTACAAACTACATAGGGACAAAGAGAGGGCGGACACTCGACAAAAACTGCTCAAAACCGCCTACAAGAAACGTTGGCATGTCCCCCACGCCCCCTCTAGGCCGGTTACCCCAGACCGGAAACCACGCCCTAAATCATCATTGCCTCCCAAGATGGACGCCATCAAGGAGGTTCTGGAGGCCAATACAACCAACGAAAGTTACGACAGGTAATCGTGGGCTTTATCAGGGACTGGTCGGCTGGCTAGACATTTAAAAATAAGGCAATTACTGATCTCTTATGTGTCAAAAATGGCAAATAATTCGAAACCTTCTTGATATTTTTGTAGGATTTTGGATATTACTATGGCATCATTCATTGCGCTTGTGTAAATGTACCCTTTATTTTAATGACACCCATTAAAACAGAAGTACATACTATAGAAATAACCTCTTGGGGAAAATGTTTCATATTAGACATCGAACACAATTTGTCATTTAAAGTCATGTGTATATAGTATCCAATAGTGTGCAGTTTAGAAGTATTTTGCATCATGTAACACTATGTTTATCTCGTCAAAATATTGGTTACCCAACGACAGTCATTTGTTTTGTATGTAGACTGCGTCAAATCTTACTCAAATGGAGACACATGCCAGTAAGTTTCATCTTACAGTATACGAAAAACGGTATCTTCCCACAAAAAAAATAGAAAGCCATTTATCAACGTGAAGCTGTGTTTTACCGTTAAAGGCGCTATGGTGGACATGTATCGATTCACAGTCATGCTATACATGTTGTTGTTGAAATCATTGAGGAATTGGTCAATAAAGCGAAACGAAATAAATCCCGATGAAAGACTTCGCTGAGTGTAGATCGACATGTGGTGTACTACATGATTAGAAAATGTGCTCTTTCAGATCAGTGTGCTTGAAGCCATCGTATTTATCAATGAAGCAAAATGCACCGCGTTGCATTGCAAATGTGTTGTACGTAAATTTTGTTTTAAGAACTCCCCTTAATAATTCCCGATAACAGGTGAGGCGTTAGATTCCTCACATCAACAGCTGTGTTGAGAACGGCTCACCGAACGCTAAATAAATCGGACCCTTCACTACCGTAATGCAACACGTGTACCATAAGAAGAAGAAGAACAAGGACGTGTACAAACACTTGATATAACCATTTCATATCAGATCATTCATATTGATATTTTGATCAATATTCAGTGAAATGTGAAGGGGAACATTATTCAATCATGGCCTGTCGTGTTTGGATTTCTCTGTCTGCTGTCCTACTGCTATTATCGTACTGTTGCATGTATGTACGGGAATGCATGGCGAGGACTACTGGTGCGGCAATGGCAGCTGACTCGCTTTACGCAATGCCTTTAATTATTCATAGTCTGTAAAGATCGGTAGTATGTGAGGAGGAACACAAGGGGATCCTCTCAGCTACCAAGGTATACTACCCTAAAGGGAGCTAAATTGGTATCTTACCAATTAGTGTCAGTCTCTGGCTTAGCATATAATAACATGTATCAAAGGTTCTGTCATACTAGTACATACCTACCCTTATGTGTGCTGTCCTTAACGTATTGCCACATCTATGTAAACCAAATTGGCGTGTTTTTCTATCTATCAGAGAAAGGTTTTCTTCATGCTGTAGGTTCTATAGAGCAGATCCCTAGAGGAACCAGAGACTATTAATCAATTATCAAATAACTTTGCTTTCAACGTTTACCCAAGAAGTATGTACAAGATTATGTTTGATTGTAAAATACCAACTTCCACCGATTCAAAAATGGCATGTTTGGATAAGTATGGTTAATTTTTAAAACATATAGCCGCTTTGATGTTCTACTTAATTGACACAGAAACACATCAACGCCACATGCATATACGTAGTTATGGGTTTTTACCGCTTTAGGAAGACAAATCGATATATTAGCACTGAAATGTACAGGTGATCAAATGAAATAGATGTTTACTCATCCGAACAGACATCGGCTGACTGTACGGAAATACTTGTGTTTTTTGCCTCAATGAAGCGTCATCGTTATTGACAGAATTGATTAGGAGCAGGAGAATCGACGAGCACGTCATTAAACACCAGCCAAATCACATCGTCTATGCTAAGTAAGCGATAAAATTACATTAGTCAAATTCATTTGCCAAAAATAATCGATGAAACCTAATAAATTATCTCTTAGGAGACAGACGATATTTGAACGTGGTCACAGTACTGTAAACGTTGTTTTCTAGCAAAATACATTCAAAGCATCAAAGTCTAAAAATCATATACAAGACATATTTTACAGTCTAATTGGAATTCACAGCCCTGCAGAGGCTAGTCGGCTCGAAATCGGTCGAAAAATGATACTTCTTGAATAGCTCCTGGTTTGTGACAGTAGATGGTATGCTATTTTTAGAGACGTGTAGGTATTGAGTGTATGGGTAAGGTTCGCTCGTTCGAAACAGTGTGGCTCTACCTCTACCAGCTGTGTATGACCTCTGGACAAATGTTGATACTGTCCCTTGGTAAAACTGGTGATGTTCTGTTCAACCTTCATTGTGTATAACTACACTGCTATTGACTTTGTCTCAATTTTTGTTTTGTTTGACGCCAATTACTGACAAGTTATTAAGCATGTAGTTATATGTTATATTCTTGAAAAAGTATTTTTTTATTAAACAATTAATGACAAATTCGGTTATGGTAATGTATATCCCCGACAGAAATGTTATAGCTATACAATTCCTGAAATAAGCTGACAAAGGTGTTGCTGTTATTAGATTAGGTATTAATTCGTGACAAACCCGTCGTGGTTATGTTCCCTGACAAACGTTTTTATGGTTACAACATTAATTTTGGACAAAGCTGTTATGATTTCTGTCAAAATCTATTAAAATTATTCGATTCCCGACGAGAAAGCTGTTGTAGTCATGCAAACCCTGACAGAGCTGCTATGATAACAACTTCTGACAAAGCTGATATTGTTATATAATCCTTGATATAGCTGTTATAGTTATACAATACTCGACGAAAAAAATGCTACAGTCATACTAATCCTGATATAGCTGTGAATTTTATAAAATCATGACCAAATATATGTACATTCAGTTACCTACAGAGCTTGTATTGTTATACGATTTCTGATTAAGTTATCGTGGCTATACAAATTGTGACAAAGCTATTACTGTTATACTTTCAGACAGAGATGTTGATGCTATACTTCCTGACAAAGCTGTTAATGTTATACTTTATGACAAAGCTGTTATTGTTATACTTCCTGACAAAGCTGTTATTGTTATACTTCCTGACAAAGCTGTTATTGTTATACCTCCTGACAAAGCTATTATTGTTATACTTCCTGACAAAGCTGTTATTGTTATACTTCCTGACAAAGTTGTTATTGCTATACTTCCTGACAAAGTTGTTATTGTTATACTTCCTGACAAAGCTGTTATTGTTATACTTCCTGACAAAGCTGTTATTGTTATACTTCCTGACAAAGCTGTTATTGTTATAATTTCTGACAAAGCTGTTGTTGTTATACTTCCTGACAAAGCTGTTATTGTTATATTTCTGACAAAGCTGTTGTTGTTATAATTTCTGAAAAAGCTGTTATTGTTATACTTCCTGACAAAGCTGTTATTGTTATATTTCGGACAAAGCTGTTGTTGTTATACCTCCTGACAAAGCTGTTATTGTTATAATTTCTGACGAAGCTGTTGTTGTTATGCTTCCTGACAAAGCTGTTATTGTTATACTTTCAGACAAAGCTGTTATTGCTATACTTCCTGACAAAGCTGTTATTGCTATACTTCCTGACAAAGTTGTTATTGTTGTACTTCCTGACAAAGCTGTTATTGTTATACTTCCTGACAAAGCTGTTATTGTTATACTTCCTGACAAAGCTGTTATTGTTATACTTCCTGACAAAGCTGTTAATGTTATACTTTCAGACAAAGCTGTTATTGCTATACTTCCTGACAAAGCTGTTATTGTTATACTTTCTGACAAAGCTGTTGTTGTTATAATTTCTGACAAAGCTGTTGTTGTTATAATTTCTGAAAAAGCTGTTATTGTTATAATTTCTGACAAAGCTGTTATTGTTATACTTTCAGACAAAGCTGTTGTTGTTATACTTTATGACAAAACTGTTGTTGATATACTTCCTGACAAAGCTGTTGCTGTTATACTTTCTGACAAAGCTGTTGTTGATATACTTCCTGACAAAGCTGTTGTTTTTATACTTCCTGACAAAGCTGTTGCTATTATACTTTCTGACAAAGCTGTTGTTGTTATACTTCCTGACAATGGTTTTGTTGTTATACTTCCTGACAAAGTGGTTGATGTTATACTTTCTGACAAAGGTATTATTGTTATACTTTCTGACAAAGCTGTTGCTGTTTTACTTTCTGACAAAGCTATTGTTGTTATACTTCCTTATTTCTCCTGACAAAGCTGTTGCTGTTATCCTTTGTGACAAAGCTGTTCTTGATATACTTCCTGGCAAAGCTGTTGCTGTTATACTTCCTGACAAAGCTGTTGCTGTTATACTTCCTGACAAACAGTTGTTGTTATATTTCCTGACAGAGCTGATGCTGTTATACTTCCTGACAAAGCTGTTGCTGTTATTGTTTTACTTCCTGACAAAGCTGTTGCTGTTATACTTCCTGACAAAGCTATTATTGTTATACTTTTCGACAAAACTGTTGCTGTTATACTTCATTACAAAGCTGTTATACTTTCTGACAAAATTATTATTGTAATACTTTCCGACAAAACTGTTGTTGTCATACATTCAGAAAAAGATGTTATTGTTATGCTTTCTAAAAAAGATGTTATTGTTATACTTCCTGACAAAGCTGTTATTGTTATACTTCCTGACAAAGCTATTATTGTTATACTTCCTGACAAAGCTATTATTGTTATACTTCCTGACAAAGCTGTTGCTGTTATACTTCCTGACAAACAGTTGTTGTTATATTTCCTGACAGAGCTGATGCTGTTATACTTCCTGACAAAGCTGTTGCTGTTATTCTTTCTGACAAAGCTGTTGTTGATATACTTTCTGACAAAGCTATTATTGTTATACTTCCTGACAAAGCTGTTGCTGTTATACTTCCTGACAAACAGTTGTTGTTATATTTCCTGACAGAGCTGATGCTGTTATACTTCCTGACAAAGCTGTTGCTGTTATACTTTCTGACAAAGCTGTTGT